ATTTCTAATCAAATGGTTCTTTATATCTACTAAAATGGGACTCCACTACCCCCATGTATCATAACATATACTCCCAGTTATAAAACTGCCTCAACCCCCGCTCTGTATGAGTTAACCCTCCCTTTAGACGAGTTCAGTATGTAGTAGGTTCCAACTTTCAAGGATTTGGTGTAAAATTTTACAAGTCTATATACATGTATAATGGAACAACTCTTACTAACTGATTGCTCAGTGCAGCTGAATACAGAAAAAGAAAACAAGTGCAGCAGATCCTGCCTTTTGTAAGGGAACCCGGATTTCCTACTCACTTTCTCTACCCACAGTATATTACAGCCGCACATCTCACAATACAAAATGAGAATGCTTGGCTGCAAATCAAGACGGGTAGAGAAAAGTGAGCAAGAAATCCAATTTATATGCAAGAAACTAGGAAACTGGAATCTTTTCTTTCAAGCCAAATGCAACCTAAGAGTCTTTCAAACATGTACCTATCATGTGCATGGCTTTGTTATACACACTCTGAAGAGCATCAGAGCAAAAGGCTATTCCCTTTAGGTTTGTAGTTTGGTTAACTCAATCCTCATTCCTTTATGTGAAGATGCAAGTTTAGGAAGATGAATAGAGTTTGTTAACGGCTACGTCAACCCAACAAACCAAACAGATCCAATAGTGTCTACGTCTGCCTTTTGACTCCCAATTATTAGGAGTTGGTTATGGGTTTGCATTAGTTCTACCTATTAAAACTTGAATAACTTCATATAAGATCGAATTAAGGCTCAGTTTGAAAATATAAATATGTAGAGTGTAAAGCTTTTTATTTTGTATATATTTACACTGAATATATTTGCATTTAAATACAAATATAATGGGCCAGACCCAAAACATTATAATAGGGTCAGTTCTAGCCTTCTAGGTCTAGTACTGGGTCTTATGGGGTTAGGACCGGGTCTACCCCGACCCAGCCCAGAATTGTTACCCGATTCATGTTGAATTTTGCTGCAGGCTATATACTCCCCATACCCATGTTGCACTTCACCTCAATATATAATTTTAACAGGTGGTAGGTAAGGTGGTGTTGCTCCCATCTAACTTAACAACTGCTCAGGACTCCATTGTCTTACATGCAAAATGCCGTATTGCATCTATAGTTAATTAGTTATTGATATACGGTTAGATTGCTCATTAAAAGAATGGATAGTGACAAAAGAATCCACCTTTTAATTATGCAGCATCAGTAATTTACTTTTCGGTAAAAAGTTGCATCTGTTTGCTTTTCGGTAAGTTATTCATTCCGGTAAATGTATTTATTTATGTTTTTTTATTTTTTATGTAAATAAAATAATGATAATTTTAACTAGAAAAATTCATTATTAAAAGGGTTTTTTTTTTCATCTAAGTGTTGGTAATTTTACTCCAGATAAGAAAGTTATTTATCTACCTGGAAGACCCGAATAAATGATACCCAGAAAAATATACTCTCCCTGATCCTTACATAAATCTGAAAGAATATAAGTCTCTTAATTAATGAAATTATGCCAAGTTTCCTCCTCTCAAAATCCAAAAAACGGATGCCCCCTTAATTATTTGATAGGGACCAATCCACTCCAAGGACAATAGCCTCTAAATGTTGATATATCTAAGCTGAGGAATTAGTCAAAGCTAAAACGAGGGCTAATTAAGGCACACCCTGATTTTGATAATGGGCCCCTTGTTAATAGAAAAGAAGATATATATTTATTAGGAAAATAACTTTTGGTTTATTCACTGGATGTGCCCCTTTAATTAAAAAAAAAAATGAAATGAAACGTGCTCTGTTCAGAACTCATAAACATGAAGCTTATATATTATAGTCTATGGTAAGGAACATGATGGTTCAACCTCAAAATCATGGTTTTTAAAACCGGACTAGATCGGATAGTCGAACCAGAAAAACCAGGAATTGGTCAGGTGACCGGTTTTGTTTTTCCTCAAAACTGGGGTTTCTCAAAAAACCGTTGATTTTAGTCGGCAAACATCTGACCTGGGCAGTTAATAATTGGAACGATTTTGACTGTTTTTTATTTTTTTTGTCAGAATAAACCGACCATTTAGTTCAAACGATTGGACCATTCGACTCAATAACCAGACCCCTGACCGATTTGATCTCCAAATCAATTTTAAAAACCATGCTCAAAACCACTAAATTTGAATGGATTAACAAGATTCTAGTGAATCTAGACAAATCTAGGAAAAGGGGAAAAACACAACCTCGAAGCAGAATCTAACTTCCAAGAAGACAGTCCATTGAAATGTTTATTAGCTATCCAATCCGCTGCTTGATTTCCTTTTCTATGAATGTGGTTATATAAAATGTTTATATTTGCCTCTAGTTTTATTTTCTTGTGCTCATCCTCCATGAAATAGCATCCCCATGTTGTCATGAAGGGTTGAATCTGAACTTGAAGCTCCTCAATAGTAGTTTTAGAGCCTCCCTCAATATGATAACGCAAACCACTCTTAGAGCCTTGGATGGGTTTCATTGAAAACGCTGGATCTGCTATCTACAAATTGTTCTCACATTGGGAATACTACCGCAAATATTGAATACATCTTTTTATGAATGATTAGGGAGATATTTTCAATATACAGCTGTAATTATTGGTGAAAAGGGATGTAGGAATAACTCGTGCGTAGCAGATCTGAGCCCTTCATTGAAACGGATGGATTTCAGTATAATATGGAGTCCAGAGCATTGGATATTGCTAGCCCAATCAATTTTAAGGACACAACCAGGCCACATGATGGCTCGGTAGCCCATTGGAAAGTGGCAAATGTTTTCACACTCTGGACTTAAATTCTGGAAGTGGAACATCCTATTCAAAAAAAAAAAAAAAAAAAGCAAAAATCATCCATTCTGGGATCATTGATAGATGACCATTTATGAGTTGAAAGGATGGTGATAATGGTTGATAAAAACATTAACAAATCACGAAGTACGCAAATTAATTAGCTGAGAGAAACATCATCTAGGAATAGGAGGGAAACATTAGGTAGCTTTAGAGTATTTTTCCATGTCAATACTCAATAGCATGGTTTTTAAAAACGAATCGGTCAGGGGTTCGGTTATCGGTTTGAACAGTCCCATTGTTCAATCTGAATGGTTGGCACGTTCTGACAAAAAAATAAAAAAAATAAAAAATTGGAAAACAGTCAAAATTGTTCGAACGGTTCAAACGGTTAATTGGCCGGTTTAGCGATTTGCTGACCAAAATCAACGGTTTTAGGGGAAAAAGCGGTTTTGGAGGAAAACGGAACCGGTCAAGTGACCGATTCCTGGTTTTTCCGATCTGACCATCCGGTCCGGTCCAGTTTTGCAAACAATGCTCAATAGGATATGAGTTTGGTTATTAGTTTTTTACCCAAATAGCCTATGTTCTTCCATTTAGAATCTCCATCTTACAATCACCAACATCAACCTTGAGCATATTAGTTTAAAGAAACGAAGCCTCATAATTGCAATATTAATTTGGTAGATGCACAATGAAGCAAGGATTCGATCCCTCTTGGGTGGTGTTCAATAAATCTGAAATCTGAAATTTGAAAAGTTAAAAAGATATTAAAAGTGTCTGAAATCTAAAAAGAGACAATTGTTTTTTGACATTTTAGAGGCTCTGAATAAAGAAAGTTGCTTGTGTTGGATCAAACATTCAGCATCTAAAATTCACTAATTTTACTATTTTACCCCTAAATCAGACTATTCAGTTGCAATGGCGAGAGAAGAAGGAAGGAGAGAGAGAAGGCCAAAACTCACCGTCGCTAATTTGCTGGAGGAGTTGCAGCAGCGAGAAAAGAAGAAGAAAGGGGAGAGAGAGAGAAGGCCGGAACTCACTATCGCTAGTTCGTCGAAGGAGTTGCAGCGGCAAGAAAAGAAGAAGAAGAAGCAGAGAGAGAGAGAGAGAGAGAGAGAGAGAGAGAGAGAGAGAGAGAGAGAGATCTGAGGGTATTTTAGACTTTCAGCCAGGTCTAAAACGCATCTAAACACGTTCAATGTCTGACCCATGTCTTATTATTTCACATCTGAAAATAATTTTAGACCCAAATTCAGATACACTTCCAAACACACATTTGAAAAACAACATTTTCAGACTTCAAAAGTCTGAAAAGTATTATCAAACGCCACCTTAGTCTTGGTGACAATACAATAATAGTCTATAAATAAGTCTTAAAGTTTGTTGAGATGCCAACCTTTTCCAAAACCAGGGAATTTTAAATTTATTCTATTGTCGACCCCTAACTTTTGACCTTTTCTTTTCTTTTCTTTTTTTTTTTTTTTTTTTGTGCAAACAAACAATTTATTTTAGCTTTGCGTGATGTGATCGGTAATGCTTTCATCTCTTGAAAACGTTTAAGAAATAAACTTAAACAAGTACAATTTCATGAATCTTGTCGCTTTGTTTAGACAATCAACTTAACTACTTAAGTGACCATCTTGAGTTCTTGCCCGTTGGAATGCCGAATTTGAAACCTCCAAGGGGCTGTTTGGGATGTTCCCGTGCGTGACACGGTGTACCTCGCTCAGTTCTTTGCTTTTCTTTTCAGTTAAAAAGGCTCAAAAGAATATCGCTCGCAAATTTCTTTTACCCCAAATACATGGTACGCATTATGTGCAGAAATCATCCAAACAGCCTAGACTGTTATAGCCAAAGTTTTCTTTGTTATATCACTTGTATGTGTACATGTGATAGAGAAGAACTACTAATGAGCCAAGGTGGTTGGGCTTATCCACGAGTAGGGTTCACATTTCACTTGCATAGAGCCCAACCTCCTTTCCAAATAAGCCTGAGCTCAAATTGGGTGGATTGCTTTAATTTAAGATTTTGTAAAAATGCAAGTTAATGTAATCTTCCTGTACATACAGAATTTTTGAGATGCACAAACTGTAGCAAAGATCAGTCATGCGATTAGGGGTTGCTAAGTGGAATATTTTTCTCTATCAAAATTCAAACACAGCTGAATCCATCTGCCATGGCAAGCATGATTTCCACAAAGTTTGTATATCACAATAACAACATTCGTGGAGTTATACATTTAATTTTATGCATGACCTGCAACTACAAGCTTCTGCATAAATTCTTCAAATATGGGAAACTTGGTAATTGCATTGAATGCTTAGTGATTACAACCAATATTATATCTTTAACAACTCAACAAAATAAAGGGAAAAGGAAACAATAAACAAGTGAAGAGGCACGTCAAAGAAATGATCTCCAAACGAAAAACCTTGCTATCTCTAGCTGATAAAATTAAACAAAACCAATTGACTATTGAAAGGTAACCTATCACAGTTACAAGAGAGCCAAAATACTCCTGAATATCCATCTATTTAAATCAGAAGGAGCCGCGCCTTGGTCTTTCTTCTGCAACATTCACTCTAATGGCCCTCCCGTCCAAATTCTGCACCAAGAATAACACACAATCAAGTTATATGTTTTATATAAATATCAACCAGAAAGATAGGCCCATTAGTGTGATACAGTTGGTGAAACAATTAAATAATTAATATCTGAGTCTTGGCTACCAGAAAGGAATGGCAAAACAGGATTCATGCAACAGACCCTATATAGTTGGAAGAAGGCTTATAATTAGCAAGAGAAATTATAAGCCTTGATTATATGATGATGATGATGATGATAAGTCTTGACTACCAAATTCTTTCCTTTCATGTTGCATTCCCATGAATATAATTAGCAAGAGAAATTATTCAATGATATAACAAATGTATCAAATAGATCAAGTTTTGGGACCATAACCTATTTCTATAGCATTCAAAAGGAAGCCAACAACTACCCTGCCAGTGAAGGCAAGGATGATGTTATTAAATCCCAGAATGGCATGGTTGATGTCCAAACCAAAATTTAGCCCCCAAATGTTCTCAAAAATGTTCCAATGCATTGAATTCATGGTTGAAACTTAAAGATATACAAAATTAGATGGAAATTTTCATCTATGTCCCACTTGTGTATGCATGATGATGTATAATGCAGGGAAGACCACAGTCACTACAGTGACTAACAAGTTCTACTTAGAAATCTTCAAGGTTGAATCTGAACCCCAGAGAGGACCATCATGACTCAGAAGCCTTCACCCTAGATTTAGTAACTAGGAAAGGTGAAAGGTGCCATGTATAAATCCCAGCACCCTTTTATGGTGCCATGTGTAAGAAAGTGCAATTCTAATAGAATTGATACAGTGGTATCCTTGTGGCTCATTATTCCACTTCAACACTAGATTTATAACTAGGTAAGGTATGGATAAATATTACCCCACCCCAACCCTGGTCTACAACTATCCTAATGGAATCACAGAATTAAAGGAAAGAAATGCATCTTACCTGTCCATCAAGAGCAGCAATGGCATCATCCAACTCAGTTTGTGAGGACATAGTTACAAAGCCAAACCCACGTGAGCGTCCAGTCTCCCTGTCATAAACAACCCTGGCATCCACAACCTTACCATGTTCACTGAATACTTGCTCCAGACGAGCATTATCAACTTGCCATGGCAGATTTCCAACATAGATTCTCAAAGAAGGTTCAAACACTCGAGGGGGTCGCTCTGGCCTGGATCCTCTTGGAGCAGCTTTGTTCACAGTCAAAAGCCTGCCATTTAAATCCTGTACCAAATGCACAAAGCAATAGTTAACTACTAAGAACCAATCAATCCACTATGGTTGCTGCACAGACTTTAAGCAAGTAAATGCAACAGAACAGAAACTGGTGTAGCATGATTACAAATGGTTGGCATGCTCAGAAGTGGAACATGTCATGAGCACCCTTTTTTAGGAGGCCCTATTTGTACTAAATCCATTATACAATTGTTCAGTAATATTCTGCCATTACTGGTTTAAAAAATCAGCATGGGTGAAGGAGAATATGCAGGATTAAATAAATTAAGACTGCCTCAAGCACCTATGGGACACCAAGAAGGTTAAGCTGCTTTTCATCAAAGATGTCATTGCTGTTGTAATTGTCATGGTATACACTGCAAGTGCACTTTTGTCTTTCTATTTTTAATTGTACTGCCACCCAAATATAAATAATATTCTGGGCGCCACCAGCCTAGTTTTTTGGCTCTCAAATCTCTCTCTCTTTTCTCTTCTCCTCTCTATTCTCTTTTCTCTTCTCCTCCTCTCTATTCTCTTTTCTCTTTTCTTCATTCTCCCTTGAATTCTTGTTGGATAGTAATTGCAATAATGAGTGCTTCATTCTTCCCAGGTAAGCCAACACAGCAGGCAAGTCTATTATTTCATAGACCAACTTGACCTAGTTCACTAGTTGCAGTTTCGGGTCCAGCATCACAGTAGTCTAAAGAGATATCTATCCCATCAAAGCAATGGTTATCACAATAAAATTACTCAATTTTCCCTAGTTTATCTGAAAGTAGCAATAGCAAAAGCTGTTTCATCCAAAAGCAACTCCACAGAGTTCTACCCCTTTTACTAAGCTTTTTAATATGCCATGCTTCAAGTGCATGCTGGAAGGATTGTGGAAAACATTATCTTACTCCCAAGATTTAAAAAAAAAAAAAGATTCAGAGTAGACAGCTAAATTTATAATGGTAATATTGGATAACTGATGGATTGGTTCACACCAACATAAAACAACACAAGGGGATGATCCTGGATATCCAAGCCTCTGGCAAATAATTTATCTTTGATTAAGACATTTAAGTACTTGACTGAAATGGCCATCCACATCATAAAAGCAATTTTGGAAGGGATTTTGAGTCCCATATTTGGGCACTAGGAAAATCTGGCTGCTTTTTTTCAATTGGAAAAGGTAACTTCATTACTGTAAAATTAATATACAATTGTCAACCCCCAAGATAGAAGTTGATCCCAAGTAATTTGAATTACAGAACTGCCCAGAGCAAACTTTCCCTCACTGTCCCTTGTTTGGCTAAGGTATCAGCCAGACCATTAGCTGATCTTCTTATCCACTTGAAGCCTGCATCAAGCTCCCTTGTTATATTGAGAATTTCCCGTATGGGCTGTCAATACAAATATGCTCCCAACTTGTCTGATTGCAGCCAGTCCATTAACAATTTAGAATCTCCTTTTATCTCAACTTGGTGTAACCCCAATTGCTTGGCATATTTTACACCTTGAAGCAGAGCCATCACTTCTGCTCCCAGTGAGTCTCCCACCCCTATTCTCTGAATACTCTCCCTATACCTTAAGGCCCTGGGTTACCTCTAGAGCTCCCATCAAAGTTCAACTTTATTCTTTGTTGTATTGGAGGGGACCACATTTCCTGCACAATAGGTTTTATAGAGGTTGTAGCTGCCACCACTCCCCAATTCCTAAATATGCCCTCAGCTGGGAAATCTTTAAACAAATCTGGCTTCAATAGACTATGCAGCCTTCTAAAACAGGATTTAGTTCTTAAGACATGAGCGGAGTCCCAGAGCCATACCCCAGAGTTTCCAAAATCTGTTCATAGGGATTTATTTTCCAGTTCCAATATAAGTGATGGCATATCATCATCCTCCCAATCATTTAAATTTTGTAACAGGTCCAGAGACCAGTATACTCAATGGGGACCAACTGACCAAGCACATAACATTCACTTATAAAAGTTTCTTTATTTCTGGAAATGGCAAGGATACAAGAGAAGAGCTCTTTGAGAGAATAGTTGTCACATCATGGGTCACTCCAGAGACCAGTCTAAACCTTTCTGTACTGCACAACCTACAAAATTCTAACCATTTTTTATTCCCAACCTGTACAGCTGTGTTTCAACATCCATATTTTCAAGCAACTACTTAAATACAAAAAAGAAAAAATAAATGCTTGATTCCTGACCAAATTTCCACCACCACTTCCCTAATAATGACAAGTTGTCATAACCACCATAAAACCAAGCCACCCTCCTTTTTTTAGAGATTTTTCCCCACTCTACCAAGTTAAACTTAAACTTGTTCTGCCATCCTTTCCATAGACAATTTCTATGGAACTTTTCCAATCTCATAGCCATTTCAGTGGGAATGGGGAGCAAAGATAGAAGGCAAATTGGCAAAGCACTTTCTAACTTTAATATTGCCACCCTTCAATAAATACCTGACATTACATGATGCCAACCCTCTTTCAAAGTACTCTATTATCAGTTCCCATATTTTCCCCTCCTCTCCTAACATCATGGGAGGTTGGGTTCTGTCTTTACTTATTTTAATAAATTGCTGCTTCATTGTTGGCTTGTTGCTGATCAAAAAAAAAAAAAAATTACAAGGATAGAAATATAAGAGCAGCATTGCCCCAGCATAGCCCCCTCTCTAGGATCACCAAGCAAGACTAAGTTGTATGTACACAATATATACCACAAGATGTCCTGTATATGTAAGCATGATTAAAAAGAGAAAATAAAGATTAGAAATAGATGTATAAGTCAGTCAAACAATGCTAAGAAAACAAAGATTTCTTATAAGTATCACAAGTTTACTATTCATGTCCAAATTTTACGAAACAACTTGAGGTTATCTGTCATAAATTACAGATATGACAAATAGGACAGTCCCCTCAAGTGTCACATCAGTATCAGTCTCTGCACATTGAGCACAGGTATGGCACCTATTTTGAAGTGCATATGTAACGTAGGAGAAAACTGAATAAAAGTTAACCTTTTTTCCCAGGTTAGAGTTTGTAAGATTAGGTATAACACATAAGTTTAAGGAAAACCCAGCCCTTTTGCAGCCCTAAGCCCCTAGCTTGGGGGTTGGGATATTTTGAGCTATAGCATTGTAAGGGAAACTTTGCGAGTGTGAGCTTGTCTTACATTGCCGATCACAAGCCCAGATAAAGGAGGAGCAGAATGGAGTGTAGAAACAGGATTTCATGTAGCCAACCCCATATAAATGGGACAGGTCTTAGCTGATGGTGATGATGAGTATTGTAAGGGCAAAAATGGATCATGGTGATGATGAGCATTGTACATGAACCATGAAGCCAATGCAAGTATCTGCACTATAATAATAACAAAGATATGTTACAAAGAAGATGAGATGTTTTTGAGGCTGCCCTCAATTGACCCCCCCCCCCAGGCAACTACTCGTCTATGGGATAGGAGTTCTGCAAGGCCTCTTCACCCTTCAAAAACAAGACATCTACATAGCAGACCGTAGAAGAGATTAAAAAATAGTACAAAACAGAATATCAAGGAGAACATAGAAACATATTGGAATTGCCATATACAAAACAATCAGATGCTGCAAGCAGAGAAGAACATTCATCAAAATGATATAGTAAGGCTGCATTTGGAAACGATGCAAATAAGTGTGAATGAAAATATGTAGAGTGTAAAATGGTTCATATAAATTGCAAAATTGGGTTAGTTTTGCACTGACAAACTTACCTTCTTACCGAATAGACTTTTAGCTGTAATGGATGCAAACATGAATTCCAATAAAGCATGTGTTTTTTTTTTTTATCAAAAGCCCACTTGAATGCAAATTTACTTCTTTTTTATTGATGTACTTTTACATCTTATTATCAATGTAAATATGCATTGATCTGTCATTTGTCAATGCATAAATGTAATCTTGCCAAACATGAACAAAAGTGAACCAGAGTGCAAATTTACCCTGAACTGGGATTTGCACTCTATTTGCATCGTTTCCAAATGCAGCCTAAGGGAAAAGTTCCCTTCACACGCATATCCATGTATAACAACATTTTCACACAAATAAGCACTTCTCTACAAACCAGCTACAACAAAATACTTGGAAAAAGAAGCAGTATGAAGATTTGTTAAATAGATGAATGGATTAAAAGGAATGACAAATACTTACGTAACGGTTGAACATTTCCACAGCTTTCTCCGCTTCTTCCACAGTTCTCATTGTGACGAACCCGAACCCACGACTCTGATCTGTTTCCCGATTGTAAATTACCTATAAATAAAACAAAAGAATAAAGTCGGTACTAAAAAATTCCAATCTTCTAATAATTACATAAGTGCAGAAACGAAACATCAGTAGTATAAAACAGTTACCTCGGCAACCTCAACAATTCCAGCCTGATCGAAAAGCTGCGCCAACTTCTCACTGTCCAAGTCATAAGGTAAATTGCCAACAAAGAGTTTTGCCTCTTCCGGTGGCTCCGGATAAGAGACAGTCTCTTCGACGAACCCATCCACGCCGCTCTCAGCTCCATCTTCAACACCACTTTCTTCTGTAGCCGAGTCGTCTGCCTCCCCTTCCCAGTCCGAGAGAAGAGCTTCAGTCTCCTCACCCTCTTGATTCTCCCAATTCAACCCCTCTTCTTCAATTTCGTTCTCTTCCTCTTGCTGAGCCCAGTCGGAAGTCTGAGCGACTAAAGCGATTACGTTTGACGAAGAAAACTTCTTTCTCAAAGATACACATGAAGGAAATGGAAGAGAAGAAGAGGAACAGGATAGGTGAAGAAATTTAATCGGTTTAGAAGGAAGAGAGAGAAAGTGATGTGAAGCTTTGGGGATGAAGAGGGTCGAGATAGAGGATAGGCATCCGTCCGCCATTGATAGAGGCTTGACGAGAGATGTAGTTACAGAGGCCATGATGGCTGAGAGAGAGAGGGGTTTGGGAGGGAAGAGGATAAGGAGCAGAATGGAGGGGTTTAGAGGGGGTGGAGCAAAAAGGGCGATGGGTTTATTAGGCTTGTGAAGTGGGTGGACCGTGGATGGTCCAAAGCCCGCCAGAAGGAGGAGGCATTGTTTCTGGATAGAGTAATAGACATGTGATTGAATCCTTGTGTGGAGAGGGGGGAAGAGAGATATTTTCTTTTTATGTTGAAAAGTAAAAAAAGAAAAATTGATAAAAGTACTTTTAAAGTTTTAAGTTTTGTGATTTTTTTCTCTTCTCTTACATCTATCCACGGAGAATGTTGTTCTAACATATTGAATCGCGAGATATGAGAAATGGTTATTTTACAATCTTACACCTGTGGTTGAGAATTTTGTTTAATAATTTAATAAATTGATTAAAAAGTAATGAAATGATAATAGATTTATAAAGTAATAAAAATAATAATAATTAATTAAATAATTATAAAGAATTTAATTATTAATTAAAAACTAGCTAAAATAATTTAATGATTAAAATTTCTTAATTATTTAATAATTAATAACTAGATATTATTTCTATTAATTAATTAATAATTTTAGTAATTATCATAATTTCTTAATCCAATGTTTAAATAATATTAATATTTTATTATGAATCATTTGTTTATTATATTATATTTTTAATCATTTAAGTTAATAATATATGATTAATTATTAACAAAGTATTACTTATTTATTAATTTATTGATAATTATTTAGTAGTTAACTATTAATTAATAAGTATTTATTAATTATTATGAAATCATTAATTATTTAATATTAATATTATCAAATATTTAATAATAATTATGAAATCATTAACTATTAAATAATATTATATTAATAAAATAATTATTAGATAGATTATCTTAGACTCATAGTTAATAGTATATACGTAATTAGTAAATAATATTATGTTTAATATCAAATAAATGTTAAAGAATTATTAAATAATATTATATATGAACACTAACTATTCATAACTATTAATTAATTATGCAATTGTTACTATTAATAATTATTACGTACTATAATTAACTGCTGATCAGGATAAGATAAATGGGAATGAGAAGTAACAAATGGGAATATTTTATATTGCTTTGGATAAATTATTTTAATATGAATGGAATCTGCAAAAGTAGCCTTCGAGGATCTTATGATTTTTCAATTTTAGTATAAATAATAGAGGTGAGATTTATTGTATGAAAATATTCGTTGTTCATTGCAAAATGCTTGCTAGATGGTGTGTGATTGATATTTCATGACCCACGATTAATAAAATGTCATGTTTGCAACTGGAACACATTAAGATTTAAGATTGATCCTCGTTTTAATTACAAGGAATGTTACATCCTGTTGTAATCAAACCATATTAAGGAACCTCAAATCATAAAAAGGATTGCATCTGTCTGTGCACACATCAATACATAATTTCTATTTCTCTCAAATTGCTTTCATTCTGAAGACCAAGCTTTAAGGTCAAGAATGAATTGCTGGCATTATACTTGAATTCCTCCTCCTTTGTATCCACCAAACAACATCTCGGTTTTGAGCTTGAATATGCTCCAAAACGACCACATCCTCTGGCTTTGATTTGTATTGTGCATCCTGAATGATCCTTTATGCATTTCAGTGCTTCAATAGCTCCTCCAGAGTTGTACATGTCCACTAACCCAATTGGTGCAAATTGAACCTTTTCATCATATTCCTGATAGAATGATTTCTACTAACATTCAACCCATTTGTAAAGACAAAATTCAATGCATGGAATTGAGATGGAACCAGAATAGAAATTGGCATGAAATTAGATGTTAACAACTGTCTCACCCTTATTGGAGATACAGTATAGATTTCACATTGTAGAACATCCAGAGTAACCCCAAAACTTCCTTCTCTTGGTAACCTCAAAAGGTGTCCTGAATTTATGAGATTGTAAAAACTAAGGCATTGTGGTTAATCAAGGAATAGTTGGCTAGGATGTGACAACAGAAACATACCTGAATTGAAGGCATATACTGCACAATCTCCAATCCAATTTTCATCTGCAACCTGTTCTAGAAATTCCACGTTGTTGGGACTGACATGGCCTGAGATTTGTGAAAGCTTAGATTCTGATAGGGGTTCATTGTTAGCTATCTCCTTACATGACCAATTTCCTGCTCCTTGGCAGTTAAAAACGCCTATAACTCCAGATAGTTTGTTCAAATTCCATATCTTCAGCAGGCTGCAAGAGTTGATGCATATAATGATTAGGGTAGACGAACAATATTGAATTGATTAACTTGATTTTTGCTAGTTCAAAAGGTGGTATCAAATACAACTTACCTTTTCCCATCCATGACTGGGTCCTCAAATAGGCAATCTCGAGTTGGCCGGCCAGCATATCTAGCTCTCAGAACAGATCCATCTGGTAGTACCAGCTTTTTAAGGATTTTGAAATCATGGGTTCCTGGCTTGTCACTAAACAAAGTATGTAGATTAGTAAAGAACTTTCCACCATGCATCCTTGATGCTTTAGTAGGATACTCAAAGCTGTTGTCATGACTCATGAGTTACCTTACATATACCCCACACCCACCTAACGCTCTTGCTGCACCATGGAACTCAGCTGTGGCATGGTTGCTCTGAAATAAAGAAAGAAATTCTCATAATTTCTGCATTGCTGAGGACTGAATACTGAAATTTTACAAGTAGTTGAACACAAAAAAAGTGCAAACACAGAGGTCCTTACTCCTCACAACATAGCTATATTTTGATTAAATAATGATGAACTGTAGAATAAAACAAATTGCAATGCTCTTTAACTGAACATATAGTATTTTAAGAGTTGAAAACCATTATGATTTGAGATTCTAGTTTCATAGTTTACTCTGTGGAATACCCACCAAAATAATTGATTTGACTAAAGCATTTAAACCTCGCAATATGAGCTTTTGGTGTAAAGAAGAAGAAAGGCAGTGAATTTTTTTATGGAACTAATCTTACATGGAACATGTCCCAGTCGGGAACAACGATCTCTCCTAGAAGAAGACTGTTGAAAGAAACAGAAGCAATATGTAAAGTCTGTAAGGTAGGCTCTCCTGGCATGAAATCTTCTGATGCTCTTGCAACTGCACTTCTCCTTGAACTGCAAGAGGGACACAGTAATTACAAGATGACACTAAACTCTAAAAGCTTATATTGCACCAATAGAAATATAAGATTGTCACCTGTAAATGCAATCTGAGTTGTGACTCATGCAGCAAATTAAGTTATTGTCTTTAAAGTTCTTATCAATTGATTCTTCAAGGGCATGCTGGTATTGTCTAGTCAATGAGACCCGACCACCATATCCAGTACCTAGTGTTTCTACTAGGTTCTGTACATCCACCTTCACTCCATCTACTCCACTATTAGAAAGGTAACTATGAAGATCATTGTAGAAGTCATATATTTTTGTTGGGTCAATTATTCCAACTCCATATTTCTCCAAGCTGTCCATGGCAATATCTCTGACGTTCCCCACATTACCAGGAGACTGGACTGGATATGCAATCTTGGGATTGTATTTCTTCATTGATTTGGATGTTGGGAGAAGCCCTCCCCAATAACCAACCAAAGCATGCCACACATAAACGAATCTGTAACATCAGGTAAACCTTTAAGATCCAGAAATTTTTGTAAGTCTTTAAAAAGGAAATTTAGAGACTGGATTAGAAGCATTACTTCAGGCCATATCTCTCCTTAATGTCTTTGATGAACTCTTGGAAACTCTGACGTGAACTGTCAGAGTCCACATCCTTGAATTTATTGTTCTCCTTGATGTCAACCAATCGGGTAGCAAATCTGGCCAAAAGAAGAAGTGAGTGAGAGAAGTATAATTTTAATGCATGTATGAAGACCACAAAGCAAAGGATTCCTGAAAAAGGACTAGCATGGAAAAAAATGGATGAACTTACTGTGTCCCTTCAATGTGAGGTTTACCTTCTCTATGGAATTCATTTATCGTTTCTTGCCACCCATCATCAATGATAAGGAACCTTGGTGGACAACCTCCTTGTGCCAAACTGTAATGTAGGAGCAAAGATTTTAATTCTTAACTTACTAATTTGAACCTTGTTAGAGAATTCTGTAGTGATCACTTTCAATAAAAGTTGAAGTATCAAGGTTGTAATATGCATTATCTTACGAATACCTCTCTAGACCCTCTTTGATTCCCTTTGGGTTGACTGCAGTGTAGAAAGCATCCCAAGTGCACCATCCAAACCAATCTAAGTTTGCAGGAATCTGGCCATAATCACAATATATTAATTCAAATAGAACCTCAGTCACCCCTTTAATAACCACAGATAGAGGAATGTCGAATCGCATATAAACTGTGGGGTTATGAATTTGGGTTTCTACTTACTTTCTTGTTCTCAATGTGACTGAAGGTACCCTTGTGCTTCTCCAATATCCTACACATTCACAGTAGGAATTTTAGGACTTCAACATCCATCACCTGATAGTGATATAAATTGCATGCAGTGTACTATTGATTAAGTAATCTTAATCTTAGTTTGAGTTGAACGCACTTGATAGAATGCTTCAAAAGCTCAAACGGATTATCCCCAGAATTGATGAAAACAGCTTCCAGAGTTTGAGAGCATTGAACATCGGGATCCCCTGGAGCAATTAATCATCATTTGAGAATCAAAAACTGTGATATGTTGGAACTCCAGAAACTGAAAATAGGAAAACATTTCTAGATTTGAAACTAGTAAAAATGGAAAAAAAGACCAACTGACCACTTTCAATGCAAAACTGGAGCTGATTATTAGAATTCCCCTGCAAACATGTTCGGAATTGGCCATCCAACACGGGTAGTATTAGTATAAAGAAGTTTTCAGCAGTTGGTTTAATAGTCTCGTCATCATGGAGGCCAGAATCTTCTCTGGCTTCCAAAAGTAACATCTGAGTTTCGAGGGGAACATCACTCCCAGATTTTCCAACACGTGGTATCATCCACCAGATCTTGAATCTGAAGAGACTTAAAAATCTGTATCCCCTGCAATGCTCATTAGAAAACCAAATCATACCTTCAGAATTTGTATTAGAAAGAAGAGGTGCCTACGTTTTTACAGAACTTAAGAGACATGTGCCGCTATAGAATGGCTAACTGGTTTTGCTGTTTTTCTGTTTGTTCAATAAATTTTCCGTTCTCTTTACAAAATTAGCTCGACTAACCGTTAAAAGAAATAAAAATCCAAAACACGATTCGAAATGAGTGGACTATATAAAAACATCTCCTCCTGCTCTTTCAATTCATTTCTTCATAACTCATTTTTCTAATATCCCTCCAACTAAAAAAGAAAAAAATAGATTCATACGAAATAAGTAAGCCCAGCAGAACCCCTTAAACTGTTATGGTCATTTGATTTATTAGACATATAAGAACGACAGAACGCATCTAATTTCATCTTAAGCCAGATACAAATACACAAATGACAAACCGGAAATCTCTATAGGAAAACATTTATTTATAAAACAGAGGAAGAGCTTACTCGAAAACTCCAAGATTAAAAACGTGGCGAGAACTTGCAGCGTTTGAAGTTGCCCCCACGAAAGCTGAACCACAACCCGCCGGAGAAGTGACAATGTTCGGCGGAACTCCATTCAGGACCACCTTACCGCGCACAGTAAGACACCCATCTCTAATGCTCGGTGTGGCTGTGATTGCCATCTTGTCAGTGGTTGTTTTCTTACACCAAAACCTACACAACTGCCTTGATCGGTTGAGACCAGCAAAGAGAGTTGAAGATCTTAAACTGTATGACGACGAACTCCAGATGGACAACATTCTCGACGAGGTAGGTATAAGGGTATTTATACATAATTTTTTGAACTGTATGCCTCTGCCTCTGCTCTGTTATGAAATAGTGAAATTAGACCGTGGCCTCTAGAAATCAGGAAAGAGATTTAACTCAAACTGATGGCTGATGCATCGACGGACAAAAGTTTCCCTGTTTTGAGATCGACGGTGAATACAAGGCCCTGCACTGGTCAAAGCTCAAATTACAATCTACTCTTTTATTTTGATTCAAAGTTTCGTAATCTGGAAAGTTCGGGGATTGGACCTGCCTGGAGTTTGATAATCTCAAGTGATGACATGCGGCAGACTGACTCGGTGATGACTAGGATTGATGGTCAAGCTTATCAGTCACGTTGAGTCGTTGACTTTCCTAATACGTTTGCTCAACTATTTGATGGTCAAAAGTGCCATTCACTGTTTGTTAAATTTTCAAAATATGACACTCGAGCGAAACATCTTCCTTGTTTTACAGACGAACTAGGACTCAGAAAGCGGTATCGGGTTCCGTTACAATGTTCGAAAACAAGGAACGGCTCGGTACCTTGTGATCGTCAACGAAGTTGCCACCCGTTTAGGTTTAGCAATTGAGCGCGCTGTAGTGCGATCGTCTGGCGACCTATACCGGAGGTCCGGACTTCAACCAAACACAGAAAAATTCCGGTTACCCCACCCATCAAGGATTTTAGCGTGCCCAATTCGAATCACAGTGTTAAAAGATTCTCTCACAAGAAGATGTACGAATTCCAATTCTGGTTGATGGCGGCAGTTACCGACGACCCACAAGCGCAAAGTGGAAGTTGAGACAGACATTCACTCTGAAGGAGATGTACGAATCGGACTACATTCTTAATAGAGGAGGAGAATATCAACCCAGATGATGAGATATATTATGGCTGAATTGAAGTATCTCATTCGAAGCTAATTTTGGTTAAAGTGGTAATCATGGCAACCAAGATTGTGTGCTGGATCGGCAATGGAAAGATGAGACTGAAATCTCCAATCAAACCCATAACAGGCTAACGGCTTTTATAGAACCCAGTGTCCTTTACTTTACATATATGATGAGAATATGAGATGAGACTGGCTAACAAGAGCTTCAGGTTAGATCAGAGAACTCGAATATTTGGCCTTTTTAAGTTAAGGACATTTTTGTCCTTTAACCACAGAAAAAATTCCAACCGATTGGTTTATGACCATTTTGATCTGTACATCTTTAAAAATAAAAAAGAGGACATTTCAGATTAAATAAATTTGTTATATGGCACTGCGTTCTATCTGGTTGATGGTTAGACTGATGATCATAACGGTCGATTTTCATCTACCACCATTAAATTAAAAAAAAAAAAACGTGTTATTAATTTATCACGACATGGAACCTTGTCACTCACACCTCACACGTGGAGTCAAAAGTAATGCCACCAGATATAAGGATCTCCTGGACTCTCGACGCCTGGGGTGTCAATGGACCAGTTTTGGGTTGGACTTCGTCCAAATCAAAATCCATTTGGATAGATTGGACGGGTCAATAAGTCATTGAATTTGGATAGATTGGACGGGTCAATAAGTCATTGAATTTGGATGGATTGGACGAACCAATATGGCATATTAGATTGGACCTGGTCCATCCATGATAAATTTATATTGGATTGAATCAATATCTGGTCTATTGATAAAAGATAAGAACATAATTGTTAATGGACCAAGTTTGAGTTGAAACCAATATAAATTAACAGGAATTTGAACAGATTGAACAAGTCTCTGAACCGGTCCAAAATGGTCTAAAATATCCATTGGATTGGATTAAACCAAATCCATTTGTAATACTCACATTGGACTAGACCGGATTAGACCAAATCCAATCCAATTGACACTCCTACTTAGACGGCCGCTTGATGGGGGGATCGACCACGAATTCAATGAATGGAAGAACTTTTATACCATTAACTTGGGTAGTGTCAAGTTTAGTATCCTAAATGTGTCATTGCAGTACTCAAATTTTCAAAAACAGTGTCAAGTTGGTTAAAAATCAGTATTGCCTTTATTGTTAAGAACATCAACCGCAGCTTCTCAAATACCAAGAAGCCGTTTGATGGCTTTGTGGACAAAACCAGCGCAAGGGGAACACGTCATTCCCAAATCTGCATTGAATCGGAGATGTCTAATCTCCTCCGGTTGCACTTGCTTTGGCATATTGTTCTTTCTAACGAAGATAAATATACAATGAAAGGGTTAAGACGTAATTCCAGTTGCAGTTGCTTTGGCATATTGTTCTTTCCAAGGAAGATAAATATACAAAGAAAGGGTTAAGACGTAATTCCAGTTGAACTTGCTTTGGCTATGCCCAATCGCAGATGGCTAATCTCTTCCCGTTGGCTACTATCTTCTTTAAATCAAACCAAATCATATGTCAGTATGCCACATAATTATGGCTGGGTTGCTGCTTTGAAATCTCTTTTGTTTATTGGGAAATTGTCAAAAACTCATCATGAATTTTTAATATTTTTCTTAAATTCATCACAACTTTTCAAAATGTCTAAAACTCATCTTGTTAGTAAGTTTTTATTTTTCAAAACTCACCTTCCCCTGGTGCACCATTAATACTTTTTAACAGAGGTGTTCATGTCAGCATAAATAACAATTTTCATGACCAAATTACCCTTGAATGGTGAGTTAGAGGAAAAGTGGTCTTTTTCGGTTTTCAATTTTCTTGTTTTTTTTACATTTTGAGTGTTTTGTTATAATTTCCAATGTTTTTTTATAATTTCTGTTTTTTTACGTTTTTCTATTTTCTACAATTTATAAATTTTCTTGTATTTGTTGTTATTTATTTACAATTTCTGTGTTTTTATATAATTTTTGGTGTTTTTTCTACAATTTTTATTTTCTAATTTTGTTTTTCAATTTCTATAGTTTCTATAATTTAAAAACATTTTTTTGTTTGCAATTTCTATATTTTTTGTAATTTCTATGTTTTATGTATTTTATATTTGAAATATTTTTTGAACTTTCTCCATTTTTCATGTCTAAATATTAAAATGGTAATATATTAAAACCCGCTAATTTATTTTGTATATATTTTATATTTTTTTATGAAGGTTAAAATGGTATTATATTAACACCCGTTAATATGTTTAACGTTAAGTTAGTAACATGGTGAATTTTAGACATTTTGAAAAATCGTGATGAATTTAAGAAAAATGTTGAAAACTCATGATAAGTTTTAAATAATTTCCCTTCTTTATTTAATTTTTGTTTTTCAAAAATTTCAAATATTACTGTCACGCACGAATGACTCCTTCACCAGTCACTAGGGTATGTTGGTTGTTGCAATTAGGATGGGGAAATGGGAATATTCTCCATTAGATTCCCATTTTCATGTGTTTGTTCACTTGGGTAGGGTGGGAAAATCGTGGGACGTTGATTTTCAAAACCAAGGATGTGGGGTCGCACTGAAATGATGTGACCCCGATGAGAAGAGAAAATTGTGAGAAGAAAATATCGACTTTTGACTGAAGCTTCACAGCCGTCCTCTCACCGTCTCCTTGTGTCTACAGCGTTCAAGTCTCCAACAACATTTTCGACGATATCCGACCAAGATAAAACCAGATCCATGACCATCGAATAAAGGAGATTATCTTTTTCACATTTTTGGCATCACCGATCTCCTCATGCCGTTGGAAAGACGTGGTAGATAGTCAGCTAAAAGCCATTGTTTCCGGCGGTATAAAGGTAGATGTTTTACAAATCTGCACTTCTCCACTTGTTCCCGTTAAAATGCGTCAAGGTGTTTATGCATTTTTCTGGGTTCAAACCTTCCCGTTAAAACGCATCAAGGTAAGAGTTTTCTTCCCTTAGATATGTTTTTCCAATGAGATATGTTTCTCTTCCCTCAGATTTGTTAAAACAGGTCCCAATTATTCTTCTTACTTTTTTTATTTTTATATGTTTTCTCGTTGGGGTGAAGAACTCCAGATATTGCGTCTCCCTTGTGTCCTGGTGAAAACCCTTCCTACATGCTCCTACTTTTCGATTTTTGCTGAGGTATTTGATTTATAAATATATTATTATTTGTTAATTTTTTTCTTGGCATTCTTCTTTTACTAATAGAAAAATGTTGATCACTAAACGTATATATTACAAAGCCGTCTATGTAAAACATCTTCTTTCACTCTATACATGAAACACCTTACAACTTAGTTTCCCCCTTTCTACTCAAATAAGTCAAGTGTTTAATAGATAGGAAATAATCCCAAAAAAAGTTTGGTAGATATGATATATGTTAATAAATGAAACCCCAAGCTAAAAGATTTGATTCATAATACAGAAATTCACTCTTTAATAGAGTTCTAAAATCTTACGTTCTTAGACAAATATTGATGGTGCGCGATTTGGATGTTCTTAGCTGTAGGGCAGTTCGGACGATAATCCGCTTTGCTAGCCGGTCAAACTGCAAAAGAAGAAGGCTTAGAGGACCTGGGGTGACTTACCCGGTCTGAGTGTTCCGATGCTTAAGTTAGTACTTTGTGTGTGAGTTGGAAACTTGAATGCTAGAAGGCTAGTGAGCAAATAATCGCGTCTACCTTCTAAGGTTGAAGGTAAGGCCTTTATATAGGCATTGTTTGGCATGGGCTTCATGCATTGTGTCCGAGATCTCCGGGAAGACGTGCCTAACCGGTCCGAAGTCCTCGGAGGTAGTCGTGCATGTAGACCAGTCTTTGCGCCTTATTCGGTTTCCTCCGAAACATTCGGTGTGGGAGCCAACTTCCAAGTGACGGAATGCATGCAAAATTGGCCAGCGATCATGTCTCGCAAGTCGCAACCTAGACCTCAATCAAGTTGGCAAGCCCTCAAGGGAGGTCGCTCATCATGTTGAGGTTACTTTTGACCGGTACTGATGAGGTACCACAGGTCGGCCCTGGATGAAGCGCTGCTAATCGCCTTGAGTTGTGGATGAGGTCGCCAGCTAGGTTTCCACCAGGCCAGTGGAGGTAGGTTGCCAGGTCGGTGGAGGTAGATCACTAGGTGGGCGGAGGCAGGTCACCAACTAGGTTTCCACCATGTCGGCGGAGGTAGGTCACCAGGTGGGCGGAGGCAGGTCGCTAGGTCAGCAGCGGGGGTAGTTCGCCAAGTCGGCGGCAGAGGCAGGTCGCTAGGTCAACGAAGGCAAGTTGGCGGAGGTA